TCATAATAGAACATACAGTCTCATGAGGTTACAAACATCTCATTTTCAAGTTCTAGAATCTGAATTTTAGAGCTTCAGGGCATTTCCAGATGGCCTATAGTCTGATCCATTCATTAAACAGATGATGAAATGGAGAGCCCCAAAGTGAAGAAAGTCTCTCCCCCAGAGTCAGAAACTCTAATCGCAGTGGCATCTGGATCCTCTGCTCCCTGCCCACTCTTCTTTCCATTTTATTGCTTTGAAGCTTTTCATATTATTCTGCACACACCAAGTCCTTCCGAGTCCTTTTTGTTATTTATTACCTGCTCACGATTTCTTAGATGTCTGTGGTTGGATTTTGATGCTAACATTGATCTTCCAATTCTTTAACCTAATTTTTTTTCACTGCTTGCTTCTTCTCTTTACCTGACCACGTACCTGGCAGATGTATCTGTCTTGAGTTAAATAGGCAATCCGGGGTGCCATGGATCTTTTGAAGACCTGGGAAAGGAGAGCAGTCTGCAGTGACCCTCCTGAGACTTCCAAACAAAATCACTGGCCCCTCACTCCTTAAAAGATAGTTGGGCTTGTCCAAGGGCAAAGAGTGGCAGACACAGAGCTTGCTTTTCAGACACCCCTAGACTGGAAAACATCCTTTGGGGGTAAAAATGAGGACATAAAATCGCTCGCTGTGGTACCTTTCATTCTGTTAAGGACACTGAAAACACAGTCTGTCATCCTTGACATTTTAATTGAAAGAAAAGCTTACATAGATTTCAGCCGTAAGCAGTATGTTTATACAAGTGTATAAAGAGGAATAATCTGTCAAGTTGGAAAACTCTTAATGCTACGGGACTCAGTTTAGTAATTGAACAATCCAACATGAGCTCACACATCTTACCTTGTTCCATGCCTCAATAATTTTTAGTAGAAATACTTTACCTAGAGGCATATGGTTATTAAAAAGGAGGCTCGGCTTGCTCAAAGTCTGGAATTATTAGCTCATGGCAACAAGCCTGCACTGGAGAAAGACTGTTGGGTCTTTGTTTTCACAACTTTGCTGTGATTTGCCATCTTATTTTCAGAGTCTAACTGATGTGTTGTTTGGGAAGTTTTTGGTGTTTTTTTTTTTAAAGGAAGAAAACATAATTTCACATGGATGAGAGACTTCTCGTGTTAGCAGTACTGCAGAATTTTACTGCTTCATTGCCAAGTCCAGGGAGCAGTGTGGATATCAAAGGAAATAGACCGTGAATTTATTTTAGTATAAAAAATCAATAATAACTTAGTTATGGGAGCCATCAAGGAATGATGGGGGAAGCCCTGTGTTGCAAGTTGAATATGAGCCCTGCTTCTTTTCATGACCCATATGATCTTGGGCACATTTAAATGTTTCTGAATTCAGCTTACTCTGAGTAAAATGGGGGTAATCTGACCTACCCAACACATGGCATTGCTTCAAGTCACATGAAGGTGAAATATTTTGAAAAATATGAAACTGTATAATTGTAATATAAAAAGTTTCAAGCAAGTGCAATGTGTTAATAATTATTTCTATATACACAAAGGGAATTAGATAATTAATGTAATTATTCCGATACCACTCTTGCTTCAATGATCAGAATATTCTGGACAAATGATTATTTATTGGGCCAAGCTACATAATTACCTCAATCTAACCCTTTGTATACCCAGCGATGAGTAGGAGTAGATTTTTTTTTCTTTCAGTTTTTGTAGTTTTAAAAGCCCAAACAAGAAGCATAGAAAATGCCGCAGTTTTGTTCCCAGCATGGGTCGGGAAAATTATTTATAGAATCTGTATAGGGGTGCCTGGGTGGCTCTGTCAGTTAAGTGTCCAACTCTTGATTTTGGCTCAGGTCATGATCTCAGGGTTCTTAGATTAAGCCCCGTGTCAGGCTCCACACTGGGTGTGGGGCCTGCTTAAGATTCTCTCTCCCTCTCCCTCTGCCCCTCCCTCCTGCATGTGCACATGTGTGCGTGTGTGTGCGTGCACTCTCTCTCTCTCAAAGAAATAAATGTAGATTCTGTGTAAAACAATAATTCAAAGTTTTTCAGAATCCAAACATGCAGAGTTCTCAAATAGCCATCTCTCTTTCAAGTATATATTGTTAATTGGTTTGATTGCTATCATTAGGCAATTATTATAATTCCAAGGGAACTCAGTACCCTGAAAAGCTTTCTTAATTAATGAAGGAATGCTTTATATTTAAAAATCCGGTACATCTATGCATGGTGTGGAAGTAACTGACCTAATAAGAACATTGATTAAATGAAGCATACCAGGGGCGCCTGGGTGGCTCGGTCGGTTGAGCGGCTGCCTTTGGCTCGGGTCGTGGTCCCGGGGTCCTGGGATCGGGCCCCGCGTCGGGTTCCCGGCTCGGCGGGGAGCCTGTTTCTCCCTCTGACCTTCCCCCCTCTCATGCTGTTTCTCTCTCGCTCGCTCTCTAATAAATAAATGGATGAGTAAAATCTTTAAAAAAAAAAAAAAATGAAGCATACCATTCCCTAGCTACTCTATCCAGCTGGGAGTTTTCCCTAGTTGTATGAAGAATGAAAACTCATTTTAAATTTGATTACTTTTGCATCTCCATTCACATAAGCATTGTTTAATTGATTTCTTTTCTAAAAATGACTCATCAATAGAAACTGATCACCAAGATTATCATTAATATGTCATGTTGGAAACAAAATGTAAATGATGATAATATGCTGCCCTTTCTTTAGGAGGATGATATGGCCAGTCATCGTTATAAAATGTTTTCAGTTGTCTTTTTTCACTTGTCCCTATCTATACCCAAAGCATTCCTCCTGGTGACTAGGGGAAAAGACATATGGTAGAAGGTTGTATGTATGTATGTTTAGATGTATCTATATGAATGCATGGATGTATGGATGTATGTGTGTACATGTCTCTGTCTGGATATCTGTAGACGAGTGGATGGATAGATGACTAACAGCTATCTGTGGTGATGGTCTCGGTGAATCTTTCTCCTTATAAAACAGGGCAGTTCAGATTACTAACCTTGCACTTGGAGGAACTGACCATTATTAAAGATGACATACAGCTATTTTCTTCCCAGCAAAGGTCACAAACAAAACATTAAGACTGGAGAATATAAAGCAAACCTTGTCTGTTGACAGAACCACATTTATACCTATCTGACTGGAGCCATCCACCTCTGAATGAGGTAGGCTTTAAGACCCAGTGAAGTACAACCTACTATAGAATTTTGGAGCAACCGGAAACTAGCAGTTTCCTAGAACTGTAAAAGGTGAAGGACCTTCAAAGACCGTACTAATCCTATTGTTAATCTATACTCCAGAGGGCCCCAGGGCACATGTCAAGAAATACCCATAACACGCATTTGCTTTTCTGAAAACACTTTTTATTGTTACAGGCTACTTCTGTTGGCCTCTCCATGTAACTATTCATACACACATTCTATTCATAAAGCTGGATGTCATTTGTGGGCATCTACATGGAGTCTGGGTAAAAGTTTTATATTCTTTTATATTTTCATTTATATAACTTCCTGAACATATAAATATTGACTAATTTATGATTAATCCTTCTAATATTCATGTGCCTGCGATAGCTAGCTCTGCCCAAAGGAGCTGTTAGGCAAAAAGGGTAGAAAACCTAATCTTTGAGATTTCAACAACAATGCAAAAGAGCATGTTGGCATTGTTCTCCCTGTTTCAATCCCCACTTTCTCCTCAAGTCAGTCACGGGAGGCACACAGCTCCAAAGAGAGGCTTCTCATGCTACTCTGGATGGGACTATCCTTCCCTGAAGCACAGAAAAGCATTGGACCACACAGGACATCTCTGTCTGCAATCATTACCCAGCACTTAGCATGAAGGAATCTCTTTTTTTTTTTTTTTTTAAAGAAAATGCATTAATTCTGGAAGCAGTAACTTCATTTATGGCATTCAGGATAAGGTAGTTTAACATGGAAGACTCAGAGGTCCCTGCTGGGGGGGAGGGGATGTGTTTATTTATTTGTTTTGTTTTATTTGTTAAATCTTTAATTTAATGGTTCAACATTTATACAGCTCCCCAGAGCAAAAGCATCAGGAGATTGAGAATTTAGCTGAGGAGGTCGCTTATTTGCCATTTTTCATAAACACAAATAATTTCCTTTTCCCCTCAGCCACACATTCCCTGGCTCATTAAATCAATTTAAAGTCCTAAAAAATTTTTTTTTTCCTCTGGCAAATTGAAGCAAAAGCTCAAACTATGCACTCCCCGGAGGAATGCTTACCCAAGTTCTGCAGGTCAGGCCAAAATCAGTTTCTGTCAAACAGCCTAACACCTCTAGTCATTATAAAATGAGGGATTGGTAATTGGGGGCTGGGCTCTGGACTTGCTTGAGAAAGGCTGGCTGCCGTGGCATGAGCCTCATTCCTGCTGCTTTGGTCTGTGTCCTGGCTTTGTTTTTTGTTTGTTTGTTTGTTTCCACCCATAGTGGGAACTATGAAAAAGTCAAAACAGATTTCTATTGGGAATTCATGAATAAAGTTGGCTTTACGAATCCAGACGGTGAACGTGTATCCAGAATAAAGCCAGGAGGGCTTCCAGGCAGAGGCATAGGAGAGTGCGGATGAAACAAACGTACACAGATCTCTGGGTCTAAGATCCTCCACAGGGCAGAGAATTCTGAGTAAACACAGGATTTCACCCCCAAGTCCCTTCCCTAAGATGCAGGGGTCACAGGAGATTTACCGGCTTGTTGACTATTGAACATGAGTTAGATAACAGAGGTCAGGAAATGAAGTGGAATTTGATATATTAACTAGGAAGCAGCAGAGGAAGCCAGGCTTGTGTTTGATTTGTTATTATTTCCCTAATATCCTCAATTATGTGATTCCCATCAGAGGATCTGATCTGTGCTCTGTAACGGTGTTGTCCCCGCTGGTTCCGGACGTGGGGAAGCAGGCAGTGAACCCCCTGCCCCCGGGCATCAGGAATAATGTTTGCTTTCTCTGTGTGTTGCCAGGCCTGTCCCAGGCTCTCTATCTTCTCTGCTACATCTCCACAACAGACAGAGACAGCCCATGCCAGCCTCCATGCCTGGGACCCTGCCCAACCCGACGATGCCGGGATCTTCTGCCGTCTTGATGCCAGTAAGTGCTTCTCCCTTCCACTGAGCCTTGCTCTTTTGAAAACAGTCAAAGAAAAGCTGAGATCTAAGCTGGAAAGAAAGCACCTTCTTCTGGATGAAAAGCTGAGCTGTGTGCTACTTTGCAGAGAGCACTCGGTTGTCTGTCCCTAGGCGTCTGGCTGGCTTTCCCGGCCTTCAGTGCTCCCTTAGTGAGGCCTGACCCCATCTTCCTGCTGGTGACAAGTGAACTTGCCACACCCAGGGAATGGAATTTGTTCAAGGACACAGTGTTTTACGACTAGCCCAAAGTCTGTATAGCGTGGGCTATATACCGAGTGTCCTTAACTCACCAGGGAGTGGTCTTGCCAGGACTCAGAGTGACAAATATAACAACAAAAATAATAACAATGGTACAGAATACCTGCTAATATGTGTCCCTGCGTATCAGAGTCTGTTAATCATGCTCACAACGTTTACTGAGTGCTTACCATGTGCTAGTCCCTCTGTAAGCGCTTCCTCAACATGTGAAACAATCCTGTCAGGCACGTGCTATTTCTACCCCATGGTTTGAATGGGAGAAGTACGGCAGGTAGCTTGCTTGGCTGAGAAGCAGCATAGCTGAGTTCTGAACCCAGGAATTCTGGCTCCAGAGCCCACTTGGTCAGCCACTGTGTGATACCACTGTATTCTCTGCTTTCACTGTCACAACAAACCTGTGAGGGATACACTGTTTTTACCCCCATTTTACAGACGAGGAAGCTGAGGCACAGGAGGCCGAGTAACTTAGCTAAGGTCGCAGTTAGTAGGTGATGGAGCGTAAGGATTTATATCCAGGTGGCAGGACTCAAGAGTCTACATTCTAATCATTATGTAATACAGCCCCCCTCTCTGAAAACAACACATTAGCCTAGAAGGGACATACAGAGTATTCCAGAGCAAACTTTGCTCTTCTTCCACAGGATCCCCTCCCTGTGCTTCTTCATCCTCCCTGGCCTGTCCTTTCGGGAGCCTGGCTGGTGACCTTATTCTTGGGGCCACAGTTGTTCTCAGAAGTCCTAAGAGATGATACGACAATTCAATGAAAACCCTCCCACAACAGTATCAACAATGCCTGGCAGAGCATTTTCGCTTTTTAAGGGATTGTCTACATTTGTCACTTCATGTCGCTCTCATCGGGATCCTGTGGGAATGGAATCCCGGTAATTATTGACACGCTCATTTTACAGATGAAAAGCTGAAGAGTAGGAAGTTGAAGGCAGCTGTCTAATGGCCCACAGCTGTGACAAACCCCACCTCAACTCACACTGAGCAGCTCAGATTCTCGAAGTTTGAGCAGTTTGCCGATTTTTCTGAGTGGAGGCAGGGGTGGATGAGGGCTGGGAGGCCCAAGTTCAGAGAAATGGACCCGCCTGCTATAAATAGTGGCGGAAACAGTCCTGGCTGGAAACAGTGTTTGCAAAATCGGGCCAGAAGGAACAGATGAGTTGACACACTTTCCCTGCCTTGCTCACCTGAAACATCTTCAGACGAGCTATGACAGTGCTGTCACCAACGCCCCTTGCCCAGGTTTTATTCAACCCAGCCAGGCGCACGAAGACTCCCACCATAAGCTGTCTTCCTTTAGACGCTAAATCCCTCTGGTCCAAAATGAGTGTCCTTTCATAAATTCTATCCACTAGCCAGAAAAATACCATTTCAGTGCCTTTTTTTTTTTTTTTTCCATCTAATTGTACCATTTCCAGGGACAAAGGTGGGACACGGGCTGAGACGGCCTGGCAAAAAAGTATCTGGTGCTGGTTTCCACCATCTCATCTCATTGTACAACTTGGCCTCCTGTTGATGCTTCAGAATAGAAGTAAAGGATCAGGTACATGATCAAGAGCCAGTGTAGACAGAAAGTCAGGGATGCCACCCCCACAGGAGTTCCCCAACCCATGTCACTGATATGCACAGCTGCCGTGACAAGTGTCAGTCTAAGAGCACTGATTCCAACTCGGGGCGATTGTTTGGCACTATCTGGAGATGCTGCTGTTGGTTGTCAAAGCTGAGGGAAGGCTGCTGCTGGCCTCGGTGGGTAGAGGCCAAGGAAGCTGTTCAGCATTCTATAATGTGCAGGATAGCCCCCACCAGAAGCGAATCATTTGGGCCCTAGATGTCAACAGTGCTGAGGTTGAGAAACCTTGGTTTAAAGTGACACGAATGTAACCCATGAAACTATCATAAAATCTCTAAAAAAAAAAAGATACCCTAAGAGTTCCTGGTCCCAGAAACCTAGGCCTTTTCATCCTTGTTGTCAAGTCTCCTGCTCCTATGCTCAGATTCTGGCATTTTAAGCATAGTCGTCCCATGGAGTCCCCGCCCTAGGGAACCATGATTCCCTTGGTATAAAAGGTCAGTCTGTCTGTAGGTGTAGGTAATATCCTTAACTGATTTGCAGTGCATGCTGCCCGGCCACACATTGCACAAGGTCCTAGGTCTGAAGCAAAATGATGTATTTGTTCATTCCACAAGCTTTTGTTGAGCACCTGCTATGAGCCAAGCACTGCGCTGGATGTTGGGGATGTGGTGAACAACAAGGAAGGATTTCATGGTGGTGTGATTTCCTATCTTGAAAGTCCAATGTTCCCAAAATTTGGGAATATGAACACTCATTTATAATTCAAAAACCCAGTGAGCTGTAGAGATTTTAACTCCCGTTTCCTGATTTGTTTCAGAAGGAAAGGAGAAGCTCAAAAAAGAGTGAAATCCTTTACCTGGATGTTTTACCTGCCGTGCTAAATGTTGCCTAGTATTCAGCAAAACCACTTCAATCATCTGACTTCTTAATTCTAGGCACCTCACCAAAGCACACTCGGGCAGAACCTTATTAGTATAAGCACCAAATCGTTGCCTTGCTGAGGCGCTTGCTGACCCCTTACAATCACTAAGATGGAAAAATGTAATTTTTTTAAAGTAGAGAAATCAGCCTGTTTTCAACATTCTGTTGAATTTGTGAGTCATGGAGTAGGAGTAGTCACAGACTGTAACTTTTCCACAGAGTGGGCAGCATGGCTGATTCTGGATCCCGAGGCTGCAAGTAAGCTGCTCGCCCTTCTTTGTAGCTCACGACGGATAACAGCGTGGAAACTTTCAGATAATCATTTGTACTTCTCAATGACCTTCCTTCAGGAAACTGAAAGCAAAAGCTCATTTGGACTTGATTTTCCTCTAGGAGAAGGTTACCAGTTGGAATAAAGGGCCAAATGCCTTTCCAACTCTTCCATCTCCCAGCCTCTGGAAGGGGGAATTACAAGCAATAAGCATTTTGTGGCGCAGTCTTCAAGACTTAACAATTAGAGTACATGGACGTACTTAATAACACTGAACTGTACACGGAAACCTAGTTACAGTGGTAAATTTTATGACATGCGTATTTTACCAGAATTACAAAACAATAATAAAAAATAAAATACCTAGGCTACCTGGAGACTCAGGGGGTATATGGGAGTGAGCATTTTATTTTCCTGAATTGATAAGGCCCCAAAAGTCATTGCCAGCAGGCTCTAGACTGTATAGAAGATTCTTCATCAAATGGCTCCTTTTGAAGCAGTTTCACACAAACATACTCTTTTAGGCTAAGGGACGGCCGAGGGTGCTTTGCTATGACAGGGACTATCCACCCGTCATTCGTGTCATTTCATGAGCACCTCTGCTAACCCACACATTAATGTCATAATTGCAGCCCCGCACCTGGGGTGGACCCAGCAGGGGTGCAGGGATGGAACCCGACCATGGCAGGGACCCTAAAGGGACATTTACCTCGGCTTTCCCTCTCCATTTTTGCCAGTGAGGTTTCTGTCCTCCGCTCTGAGAAGAGCTCCAGTGATAAAGAACTCTGTATTTTTTTCCTCAGACTCCCCAGGCTAACTTTGAGCAGAAAGCAGATTCCCTCAAGTTTCTGACCCGTTTTCATTTCCATCCTTCATCAAGGGGATCAACTTTTGCATTGAAGAATTTATTTTTTCCTCTTGACGAAAGTCTTCTGTGTGATTTAGTATTAAGTGTACTTGCCTTATTCTGGTTCTTTGGAACGTGCTAAATTTCTACTCAACAGAAAATATCAATCACACATACCCTTCCTTGATTGAAAGAGAGGTTTTTCTGTA